AATCCTGTTAGTTTGGTAGTAGAATATGATCTGCATCCCTCAAATTCAGTCTCCCCTTCCTACCACAAATATAACTAATGTCTTCAAGGGCAAACTTATAAACTACTTGTGATGAGAAGCTTCCAGATCCTCATTAAAATTTATCTTTCTCTTTCTCACACATTTATTTCCCATAATGCATCTTTAGTCATGGCACTTTCACAATCTGCTTTATGTTACAGTAGGCAAGGAATGCACAAAGAACAACTAAATTTATGGTATAAGGATATTCTACAAAATACCTGACCAGTACTACTCAAACCGTCAAGGTCACCAAAAAGAAGTAAATTCTGAGAAATTGTTATAAACCAAGAGCATACGGAGATGTGAAAACTAAATGTAATATGATATCCTAGATGTGATCTTGGAACAGAAAAAGGATATTTAAGTTAAAATTAAGAAAATCTGTATATATTATAGAAAAACAAATGAAAGCCCTTAAGGTATGCTATATGGATAGAACATGTAAACAAGGAAAACATGGTATTCTTGAACGATCTAGAAACTTCTTACAAAGATTAACTTACATACAAATCATTAGAAGTATGGCCAGGAAAATCACTATTTGGCTATACTTTGATAGCTCTATACAGTTTATTTTATGTATTTAAATGAAATAAAGCATATCTTTAAAAAACATTCAGTAATTGAAAGCACCCTACATTTTCTCCTGAATAAGTATACCATAAGTGTGTACACAAGCAATTAATCATATTATGAAATGAGACTTCTGAAGCTAGATTATCTTTTTAATATCTAACTTTTGCATATTCATATGTAATAATTATGCTTTTATAAAAATGAATATACCAAGTAGAAAAATTTTATGTACACCATTACTTCTAGATCTATTTTCAAAAGGCAAGATTTACACAAAAAAATTATATTTCATAGGATCTAAAGGATATAATTATTTTACACACTATTAAGAAAGACAAAAATGCTGTCAACTATAATTATTGATTGTAAGAAGTATCCCAATTTCATAGGTATTAAAATACATATCTTTAAAATTAATGAAGTAGTTTTTTCTCATGGCAAAAACATTTTTATTATATATGTGCCAATTTAACCGACAAGTATAATCAACAGTACTGAATATTTGTACAGTGCAAGAAAAAAATCCCTGCATTCTTTATTTTTTAGAAAATAATTTAGATACTTTATGTGAGATAGGTGAAATATCTTATTACTGAGGGGAGACAAACTGCCTAATGTTAAACTAAATCATCCGGTAGCCCCAAAAAGCTGATTAACAAAAAATGGAATTGCTATCCCTACATTATTGCACAATAACAATGATTTTTTAAAAATACAACCATACTTAGTGAGTAAACTTTGTGTTGTGATAATTACATTGAAATAGCTCAAAGTGTGTTAGTCTGGGTTAGAATGAATAGAATTCAACTTTCAGTTAGTTTTTTAAAGCCCAAGGGGAATTAAAAAAAAAATTGGGTTCTCTATCATCCTTATACACTCAGCTTATGTGCATAACCTCAGACATTTCTTATTAAGAAAAAATGTATCTTTAAAACTTCATTCTAAGTATATGACTTTTTAAACAAATTAACTGCTTCAGTAAGATAAGAGAATCTGTTTGCTATAAGTTTACTTTGTCTTTTTTAGGCTCAAAGATAATTGTGTTTTCTTGTAAATAAGTTCTGGAAGATTAACATATTCTAAGATGTAGGAAAAAATTAGGTATCATTTTTGCTGGTCTTAGGAGAAATTCTATGGAATTTGATTATAAGTCTAGGTGTTAAGATTGCTGTTGAGAACAAAAGCACTTTGGTAGAGGTTACTTCATTGGTTAATGAGGCTGAGTCTTACAGTCAGTTTTTCTCTTCTGACTTAAAAAAAGAGTTGAATGTTCCAAAATCTCACTGTCTAACATCTGTACAGTAACAGTAATATATCATATTCCCCAGTGATTTAATTAGTTACAGTGATAATAGCTGGCAATCTCATTACAGAATCACTATAAAAATAAAAATCCCCAAAGGTCTATGTTCCAAGTTCTGGGGATATTCATAAATCACACCTAAAGTTCCATAAAGGAGCTACACTGAATATGTTCATATCCATCTTTAGTTGGCTGCAAGTGTGGGAGACAGTGTGGCTTATATATTTCACTAAACACTTATAAAGCATTTTGTTTCTGGCTTTCCAAATTACTAAACATGTACGTTCTTGACAGGACCCTTTCACCAGGCCAACTAAAGGACTGGGGCAGCAGGGACCAGGAGGAATGGAAAGGATCAGGGAACAAGGATAGGCTCTGGCACTCACCCTGTGCTTTCCATGTGGAAAAGCTGTTGGCCACTCTGGTGACCTGTGGAGACATAGCTGGATTCCTCCCTACAGCTCCAGGCCTGATCTTTTTATCACAAGATAATGAAAAAAATGCCCTCATGGTGATTGTGCATGTCAGTTGTACGGAACCTCATTCAACGACTTTCTGAGTCTGATAGATTTACAATGATATTCAGATGACTGGGGAATAACATTGGTGGAAGAATTCTCTGGAATTATACACAGCCAGCACATCTCTGGATGCTGAAAGCGGTTTTAAGAAAGGCCTTGGCTGAGTGCCTCAGGGATTTCTGCAGCCTAGATGCCTGTGGGAGGATAGAGGACTGCAGCTTCCTGTAAGGGCTGAGATCTCTGTCCCTGTCTCCGACTGGAATGTTTGGTTGGGTCTCTGCCAGCTGCCTTTAGGGGCTCTTTCTGAAATGGGTGAAGTATTATACTTCACAGGACTGGTGTAGAAGATCACAAAATGGATGTTGACTGGGGACACTCCTAGCCTTCCAGGAGAGACAGAATTTCAATAAAGGACTTCCCTCCTGTGTGGAGGAAGCAGGAGCTGCTGGGTTCCAGGATGGAGCAGAATCGGGATTGCAGTCCATCCCTGGGAGGCTGTCTGCAGCCCCTGCCCATACCCTTGGCTCCCGAGCCACATTGTTTGGAGCTTCGGAAAGCAACTTCTGCTCCCTTCTTGGCTCCAGTGACTAGGTGACCTTGGGTGGATTAACTCCCTTCTCTTGGTCATTGTAAGGAAACGAATTTCTCTTCTAATCCGGGACACTAAGAGTAAAGGGACACTCTAACCCTATGGGCAGTGTACTCAGGGCACTGGTGGGCAAACCAGGCCTGTGAGCCCTGCGCTCAGTTAAATGGGTGACGGTGTTGGTGCTCCCAGTGCTGCTCCTCGTACCCTCGATGCTCCCAGCACCACTTTCTGGACCACCAGCCGCTACCAGGACTGCTGGTGCTTCTAGTTTTGCTCACAGCTGGGCCCACCTCTGCTCCCCAGGTTCTGCTTTTAGCGTTAGAGCTCATGAGTATATAAGTATGCCTTCAACTGTTTGGAAGAACCCATTCCTCTATGAGCCCTGTTATCCCAGACTAGGCCAGGGCAGGCCCTGCCGGTTGTTTTTTTTTGACTCTTGAGCCTGCACTGGAGTCCTGGGGGCCTGGTGGGCTTGGCACTGCCCTCCAGCCCCAGCCAGCATTCCCAGTGACGAGGCAATGCCCTAGACCGCAGCAGGGGATGCCCAGGCCCCCTAGAGCTCTGCACAGTCTCTGTGAGAGAAGGGCTGACGCGTTCTCCAGGCAAAGCCTGGGGACCAGAATTTCTCAGTGAATAGCCATAAAATTGCTATTAGTTGGTGTTTATGAGCACTTAAAGTGTGCCTTTTTAACCTGCCACCCTTTTATGTATGAAGAAACTGAGGTTTGGAGAGGTCCTGAAAGCTGCCGAGATTATCTCTAGGGAGAAAGCGGAGAAGCTGGTGTTGGCCTTCAACAACCCCACTCCTGCATAGCTAGTGTTCCTCAAAGTGTGTCAACGAGGTATGCAAAACGATTTTAGATTACAGATGGCCAAGTTGTTAAAAAAGAAACTTTTCTATTTACTTTAACTTGAACTAGAAAAAGATTGCAATTGGCACACAAGCCCTGTGATTTTGCAGATATCATTGCTTAGTATGTAGAGTATATATTTAAATAAGAAAAGTTTAACTTTGGGAAACTATTAAGGTAATAAGTAGACATAGCCCTTCAGAAGAGGGCAAAATTTGAAATGCAAGTCCTAGATTTGATTTGCAATACTTTGTCTGGCTGTCACCACACCACTGGAGGCAAAGTGTTTCTGATCTGAGCTAAGCAGCTGTGTCCTGCTTCATGTCTGCTGTGCCATTTAATCCACCATGATCCTTCCTAAATCAGGAAAACTCATGAAGTGATTGTACAGCTCAATCTGAAGCTTTATTGAAAACAAAAGGATCCCTGTACAAGAACACTATTATAATCCTATTCTGCTTGAATTGACCATGGCTACTGATCTGGGCCCTGAGAACTCATTTTATTTATTGAGTGAAGTTTTCCAATCAACCCCTGGATTACTAAAATTGAATTATAAAATAGTAAATACCCCCACTCTACAATTTAAAAGAAAGTATACTCTTAGTTGCAAAACATTTTCCATTTGGTCTCAGTTGTTTTTCTTTCAAATCCTTTAAAAAATATGCACTTTTACAAATGGTAACCAATAAAATCTGTGGATATTTTCTTTAAAATACATAAAGTCAAATGAGAGCACATTGTTTCTGTGCTTCTCAAACTGGGATGCATATAAGCAGCATGTGGTAAAACAAGGTAACACAGTGCATCTTCCTAGAGAATATAATAAATATATCTGGAAGAGGGGAAAGATTTTTGTATTATGACTAATTATGGTATTAGGATGAATGGTTTGTTAGCATTCATAAAACAGGATTAAGGCACTTCAATGTAATAACTGAAGGAAGTCTGAAAAATTTATATTATCAAGAAGCTCTGTGAAAAAGCAAAGCACTATCCAAGTATGTCATTACCATTATCAGTTTTCAGAATACCTTAGTCTCCAAGAAGCCAAACAACCTCAGGACATGTCTGCAGATTCTCATTTCCTCAGGCCTACCTGGCAAGTGAAATAATTGTGTAAACTGAGGAAGGCATGCTAATAATACTGAATGAATTCTCCTTAAGAAAGTAGATTCTTAAGAGGTTTTCTGGAAAGGGACTCACTAGAACCCAAAGCTTCAGCTCAAAAGGCAGAATCCTAAGCTCTAAGGAAAGCCTGAAGAATTGTGAGATAGGGCCTCTGAAATCTTCAGTCAATCACAACTAGACTCCCTTTATATAAATCTGGGCCTAATTACTATAACCAAGGTCTCCTGTGGCATTTCTTTTGCTCTGATTTTCTACTGGTCCTGTGTTTAGTTTGAAAACATCTCAAGTGTCCTGCTTACTGTTACCTACTTTAAAGGTATTTGATTACTTTAATGAATTATGCCAATATTGGTAACGTAGATTCTATGAACAAACCCAACATTTATTTATTTTAGTAGCAGGTACAAAGCAAAGAAAGTATTAATTCCATTCCCATTTCCTTTTATAATTCAACCTAAAATGTCTTAAACATTCCTAAATGTCTCACTGTGCCTAGCAGTAGATGGTTAGGAAATGATTTCTAAGCTGGATTAACCTTTCAGTTTTCATTGAAATACATTATTGTATTTCAGCTGAAACTAGTTACCCATATCTTTCATTTCATTTCACCTCTAAAGGGTTTTACCAACACAGCAACATCAGGGTTGAGTCACACACCAGATTTATTCTGCATACTTCTGAAACTCATTAATTCCTGTCCTTAGTTATAGGAGCTACCACCCAAAGAGGACTATTCTAAACCAGGTCCTGTTCTAAACCCATATTATTTAAAATCCACATATTAACTCCTCTCAAAAACTGAGGCAGGTATGAGTCCTACTTTACAGATGGATTAAATAGCTTGCCCACAGTCACACAGCAGCCCTTGCCCATCCATTGTGCCTTTCTCCTGTTTTGTCAGTCTATTGTTCATGTGATGGTTCCACAAATTATATGTATGTGTATATCCAGTATTCTCACAGAAAAATATGCTGTAAGAAAGCAAATGACATACTTTGTAAGCTTTGAAGTGTTACATAAATATCAGATAGCTTATTAAAAGCTATTAACATATCTATACTAATAAAGGATCAAAACGATAGCCAATAAAATTTAACCCTTACCTCTTCTAATCACACTGGTTTGGGGAACTGAAATCTATTTTTCTGCAACAGGGATGACCTTCTTTTCACAACTATGAAGGAACTCTCCATATTGTCAAGTGGAATAAAAATGAAGCGCAAGCCCTTTCCCTGGGGACATTTATCCTTACTTCTTTTTCCTTCATTATACTCAGAGATGTCCAATCTGAACTGCTGACTGCCCAAATACTGTTAGTATAGAATGCCATATTTAAGGCTTGAGACTCTTTTCCTTCACTTCTCTGTTTCCAGTGAAATACTTCAAGCATAATCATCTGAGTTCTAAGATTTTCAGCAGGTGGAAAAACTGTGGAAATGGAAACTTACCCCAACATATTTCAGTTTGGAAACCAAAGTTCAGAGAAAGTCATAAATATTCAGTTTCAGTAAGATTTATTGATTGCCCAGAGTGTGCATGGTCCCTATTAGACATTGAAATTCAGGCACAAAAGAGACACAAGTTCCCTGGCCTCAGGTACCTTATGATCTAATTAGTATAATACAGATTAGAAACGGTAGACAGACAAGTTATATATCAATGCTCACTTAACATTAAAGAGCAGTAATTTAAGTAATCCAAAATGGCATCTAATCTTAAAATCATTTATAAAATGTATTTGGTCTTGAAATCCACAGCACTTCAAATAAGATCATGAACTTCAACTGCAGATAAAGTCTCAAAGATGCAAATACACTGAAACCTTTAGAAGCATCATTAAGGACTCTTGTTATTCTGAATCTTCTGTTTTCTTCTTATTATTGTTCGAAGTCTCCGTAATACCAGTTTATCAGACAGAAGCATGTCATCTTGTTGTTCTAGATAATCCAGCAAATTTTCAGTCCATTCAAGAGCAGCTTTATGGCTAATATATTTCTCTGGATTCAGTTCTGCTTTTCTAGTCTTTTTAGAAGGCTTTTGCTCAGAAGGCTTGGCCTGGTCCTCAGCGCCTTCACTGTCAGTTAGCACCCGACAGCTTGAGTCATTACTCCGAGAGTCAAACCACTGATCAAGATTCTCAATGTCAACGTGTTCACAGTCTTCTGTATTCTGTAAAACAGTTGCTAAGTTAGCTGCTAACATGGCTCCTTCATCAATGTTCGTGCCAGAATTCTCTTCATTGCCAGGGAAAAGTTTTTTCCATGCTTTGGTTATGGTACTTGATTTTACCATGTTCCAAGCTCTTGATACTTCATAAATTGCATCTAATACTGTCAAGTTCTTCCAAAACATTTTTGGGTCAATTCCTTCACCCATGTATTTCTGGAGAAGTCCTGTTCGGTAGTATCTTTTTACTGTGGCTAGAACCCCCTGGCTCATCGGCTGAATTAGACTTGTGACATTTGGTGGCAAATGTTTCACAATTATTCTGCCATCATCTGAACTCAACAATTCTTCATTTGGATGTGCTGGGGGGAAATCCAAAAGAAGCACTGCTTTTTCTAGAAGCCCCTTGGATTTCAAATGCTTCTGTACCTGTGGCACAAAATATTTTTCAAACCACTGTCTGAAAACAGAATATTCCATCCATGCACTTTTTTGACTGAAATAAGCGACAGGAAGGTTTGAAAGGTCAGCTCCTTTGAATGCACGGGGTTTTTTTGCTTTTCCCACAACACAGAGATTAAGTTTGTGTAAACCTGTGGCATTTGCACAGCACATAATAATGATTCTCTCTCTGCTTGACCTATAACCAGAAGTACTTTGCTCAGTTTCAAGAGCCAATGTCCTTGAAGGTAAACATTTCCAGAACAATCCAGTTTGATCAGCACCATAAATTTGCTCCGGTTGTAGATTCTCTCTCTCAACAAATTCCTGAAAGTTACCACAAAATTCACTAGCAGCAGTTTCATCTCCTTTTAATTTTGTTCCTTTACCGGCAGCCTTTGGAATACCATGGCGCTGCTTAAATCGAGTTAGCCAGCCAGATGATGCATTAAAATCACCTTCCATCCCCAGAGCATCAAAAAAGAACTTTGCTTGTTTTGCACAGATTGTTCCAGACACCGGAATCCCATCTGTTTTCTGTTGGTTAAACCACTCTATCATTACTCTATCAAGTTCCTCATATGTTGATGACTTCATAGATTTACGTTTGGATACCCCACTTGTAGGATCTGAACCATTTGCATAGTTTATTATCCTTTCTTTGTTCTTTTTAATATCACGAACTGTGGATTCACCAATTCCATACACCACAGAAAGTTTTTTGAAAGAGATGCCTTCCTCAAGTTTCTTAATAATGTCAAGCTTGTCCTTAATTGTCAACACCACACGCTTACGTTTCCCCAACATTTTAAGTGTCTAATATTTTAGGCAATTACTAGAACAAGGTACTTAACAACTTAGATTTGAACACAATGAAACTAGAAAATGGGGTTTTAAGACCTCTCCCTTGTCCTCCTAGGATGTACAGTGTGCTGGCCAGGCTGACTCTCTTCACTTTGCTGTTTTAAAAATTATGTATTCCCTTCAATGAGGACTAGTTCCAGTCAACCCTATTTTCTATCTTTCTTCCTATTCTCTTAGTTGAAGGTCTTTTCATGAGCTGCAATAGAGATTGCAACTTATATTGTACCAGCAAGTTCTCTAAAACAGTCCTATTGCCTACTCAATTCTTCTGGCCGTCATTAAAGGTGAGGTTCTTTTCTAACTAAGACTCGTGGGAGTAGTTTGGGAAACGTTCTAGGGAATAGTTTTAGGACAGTTGCAAACGTGACATACAGGAAAATATAATGGTGTCTGTCAGGCAGTGCACTGTAGTGCAGCTGCCTCTTACAGGCAAGGGCTGCTATAGATTATCTGCTGGTTATGGAAATCATAGGCAAGTATGGTAAGGCAAGCTGGGCAGAAGTGAGTCGTGCAAAAACGGTGAAAGTGGACAGGCAGAAAACTGTACTCTAACATGACACAAACTTATACCTAATGTATTTTGCAACTGGAAAGGAAAAAAGTGACCAAGAGATGGTGTCACATAAAACATCAAAAACTTCATTGGCGGAAGTCAGAACTCATGGTAGAGGGTATGGGGTGCAAGGTTCAGCGAAGATGCTACAATAATCCTGATGAAAGATGATCCTCGATGTGCCAATAGAAGTGGTTCTTGTGGGGGGGCTGTTTAGATTCTCGGAGCCTCCGAAACCTAAAGGAAAATACCAAAAACATTTTTTTTTTCAGTATCAGGGTTCGTGGCATTACCCACATGTATCCTGCAGCTATGTTGTGAAAATTAAGCCTCCTATCAATGGGATGGCTGAATATGAGAGATAATGCTTTCAGGCGTTATCTGGAGTGACACAGAGCAGGACCTGAATTGCCTACCTCCTGATATTAAGAGGTCAAAGAGAAGCCGCGTTAGCGAGGGCCTCTCCCCGCAGGGCGAGCTCCGGAGCGCGGGACGTCTTGGCTCACGCGGAGGGAGCCCGGATTCCTCCGTGGACTCAGCGACCGGGTGTCACCGCCGCAGACAGCCGGCGAGTGAGCGGCCGCTTGGCGCAGGGGACGGTCGTCCGTGTGCGGAGGGCATCGTTCTCCGCCTGCCTGCGCGGCGGCCAGACTGCCCTGAAAGCAAATGGAGTCTCCTAAGGGAGACTGACACTGGTGGCACGGCGGCCGCGAGGCGCGAGCGTCGCCGCCGGAGCCGGAAGGCGGGGGATTAGGATGCACGCGCGCGCCCCCGCAGGAACGTGTGCCGGCGAGGGGGCGGGGCCTGGGCGGGCGGGCGCGCGCGGTCCGGGGGCAGGGTCTCTGGCGAGGGTGTGGGCGGGGAAGGCCGCCGAGGCGCCTGTAGTGGTTTCCGCCAATACCGGCTTGCTCCGGCCTGCAGGCCACTTCACCCGCCAGCAGGGGGCGGTGCAAGCTCACGGTGTTTTGACGTTTATCCCAGTGGCCCGCTCCTGCGCGCGGCGCTTCCTCCACTCTCAGGTGAAGTGAAGATCGCACCCTGTGAGGGCTCCCAAGAAAGCCGCCCGTCTTCAGGTGGCAGGGGCGGGAAGTACATGAGGGCGAGCGCGCGTGAAACGTGTTGACAAATAGCAGAGTGCCCGCCCGCCCGCCTGCTGGGATAGGACTGTCGGAGCAAGGATTATGAGCCACGGTAGGAGCGAGCGGACGCGGCTGCTGACCGGAGGCGGGGAGCGAGGTTCAGGAGGCGCTGGGCTCACTCTCCAACACCCACCGGAGCAAGCCCGAGGTGGGCGCAGCGAGGGCCTGTTAAGCTGAGTACTGGCTTCTCCCCCTGGTGGGATGCTCGAGGGTTTGAGTTGTGCAAATCCGATTGTACGTGGGGGCTCCTTGGTGAATTTCCTGGCGCCCCTTAACTCCTCCTGCTTCTCGACAGAGTTAAGGAAATTGCAGTTTGACAAAGACTCCCTTAATTTGTTTCAAACGGAGATACCACACGTTTCTCTCGGCACCCTAAGCGGCGCAAACGAGCGCACCTGCTCACCCTCCGCTGCGGTGAGCCACGCCTTCCCGCTTCCCGGACTAGGTCCCTGAAGGGAAGCCTTCGCAGAAGGCAGCGGCTGCATCTTCGCCCTGCAGCACTTGTTTACCAAGCAAACACATTTAGCCTCTTCTTTTCCTTTTTGTATAGAGCTTTGAAAAATGGAAAGGTCTAAAGTTAAATTTCTCTAATATCTGAACACAAATGATTGATCTTTTTCGGTAACGCAAAGGAACAGAGTACTTATTTATTGGCAAAAGCCATATTGTTGCTAGGATGTTTTAAAAGGAACTTGCCTGAGCATACATAACTGCAGAAAAATGTTGATTCTGGCCTCCAAACTGCTCCATTGCCTTGCGCAAAATGACAGCCTTCCCCCATCAGGCAGGAAGGAAAATCTTAGATCTCTTAATTATGCTGTGGAGTTAAAAGTGTTTTTTGACAAATACCTGCTTTTTCTGAAGGTATATATCCCCCAATCCCCAGGCCCAGCACCACCCAACAGCAGATACATCAACCAGTCAGTTTCGGCTGTCTTGGTTGAATATTTTGGGTAAAGTACAACTTCGTGCTAGTTTAACACCACTTTAAAAAGTTTTCCCTGGTAATTGTAAGAAGCGTGAAAACAATCGTATCTGATACATTATTCATTCCTCATAAGGGAAAGATCTGACACTGAGGGCCAACCAAAAGAGGGGGAGTGTAACCAGATGTTAGCCTGGCTTTCCTCCGACCCCTCACCCACTCACCTATTGGGGTCATGAGGTCCCATGATATTTAAATAAAATGAACCCTGCCTCTTACCATCCTTCCTCCCCATCCACTATCTTTGGGGTTCAATTTCCTTCTAAGCACCACTTGGATCATTTCTCTGTTTTTGCAGAATTCTCCAGCTTGCTGGTGTTTTACTTAGAGCTGTTTCCTTTTCATCTCCTTGTATATAAGTCCAAGTCTGGAACACAGCCCACATGCCTTGGTTCCCTCAAAACACCACTTACACAAGACAGTTGTATTTAGCAGATGCTTAACAAGACTTTATCCAAGACAGCTGTGCCTTTACACAAGCTAGTTTTACCTAAGAGATTGTTTCCTTTTTGTTGGGGGAGGGGTCACTAACTGTAGCATATTTGTAATAGTGTACAGGGGTAGGTGGACCTTAGAATAGAGGGCCTGGCATCCTTGTTTTATTAACAGCCTGATTGGCCACCGGGAACTTAGTGTCAGTTCTTCTCTCTGGACCACAGCCCCACTCCATGTTGCTATGTCATCCCCTCCCTTTTCTCTCCAGCATTTTTCTACTCACCGCCTCCTCTTTCCCTCTTAGCTGTTTGTGAAATATTGATTCTTTTTCTTTAGTCTGCTGAGCAATTTTGTATTTATCTTTTAATGGTCCCTTACCATTCACTGTGGCTTATTTTATAATTGAAAGAGCTTTCACCTCTTAGGGAATTCTGTTGCTATTATTCCTTTCCTTGTAGATATATGCAGTCTCTCTTAATTCTTATAACAATACTATGAGGTCAATGTTACCTCTGTTTTATGTACAAGGAAGCAAAGGCATAAAAAGTATATGAATCTGTCAAATGCAGGTGGCAGAATAGAGTTGAGTGAGGTCTAACAGGCTTGAAAGCAACATGCTTTGCCCAGACTATTATGATTGAAGTATTTAACTAAAAAACATGAGAAAGTATACTATGACTAGTGATTTTTGCACAATTAAAAAGTTGCCTTTTGTTAAAATGGAATTTTTATGTTAACCTGCTAAAAAGGCATTCTAATCATGAGAGCACTTGAAGCTAGCCACAGAGTTCATCAGACACAGAATTTGGCTTATTGGAATGTGAGTTTTGTGAAAACTAACCCAAATCACCTGAAAGTGGAGCATGTTTCTTATTGTCACAAGCTCTAAATTCCCTTTCTGCTGGGATAATAACTGCAGATACATTATGCAGCCTTGCTTTCAGTAGTAGTCTCTATGCATAATAACTTGAATATGACATCTGTAGGTAACTTCTTAATTGTAAAGGAACTAACAGCCTTTTTTTGCCTTTTGGGTCCCATTTCCTTTATTATTGACCCTTATTTACTTGGAGATTTTTGTTTGCTGAATTAGCTACTCCTATGAACTTAAGATGACATGATACTATTATTCCATATGTATTAATCTGATTTAATATTAAATAGTATTTTTCTGTTAATAATTGAAATATATTTACTGCCAACAGAAAATTCATGTTTTTCACAAAGATCATTTACTGTCACCTACTTTGGGGGACACATAATACCAATGGGAATTTTTCAGCTAAAATATAATTTATTTTTCTTTTGGGGCATGTGTGTATGTATTTTAGGGCAAACAGGATGTGTAACAGTTGTCATCAGTAAAGGGAAAGTTTATTCTTTGAAGTCTCTCTTAGTTGTAAAGTTATTTTACTTTGTATTACAGACAAAAGCCCAAATTATCATTTTAATATTTAAGAAATCCTTTTAAATGATTAAAGGTAGAATACTTTTCTACTTAAATTACTGGACACAAGTGAAATATCAGATTATTCACTGGAAAATCTCATATCTTTTTTAAAAAGTTGTTAACATGATATTGAAAGATAGTAACTTCTTATACTCTTGAATCATATGGATGCCCAGTAAAGGGACTTTCAAACTTAATTTTGTTTTCTGTGTTTCCTTTTTGGCTGGCAGTAGGTTTTCTTTGCAGGACAGGCAAAGAAGAAAGAATGAGTTCCTAGGAGGGTAGAAAAGCTTTAATATGGTTTGAAAAATGAAAATTACTGGTGGAAGAGTTTAAGAAAAAGTCAGGCTTGCTTCCTAAAAAGAAAGTGTGGCTATAAATCGAAGAAGCCATGGAATTGTTGGTCAATGTCAGCAATTTGGGTGGGAGACTTGAGTGGAATGTACATACTCCCCTTACCTTTCCACACCTGCCCGGTGTCCTGTGTTCTCTGAAGGAGCCTTCGGCTCAGACTGCTCAGGTCAGGTAGACGGAGCACCGCCGGGCAACAGACTGCCGGGTCTCCTGTGTCCTCCGCTCCTGAAGCTTCATGCATGAGGCTCTTTGTGCTGCTCTTTTATCCTGAAAAGTCTTCTCCTTTCTCTGTTAATCTGTACACACTTCCAGTTCTAGTTCATCCCAAAGTCGCATTTCTCAATGTTTCTCTTCACACCTTATGAGTCAGACTACCAGGGTCCAAACATAGATTCTGGAGCTTATTCCAGGGATGAAGGACAGAAGTCTTTGTTTTCAGTGAGCATCTAAGTGATCCTAATATGCCAATGTTTGAAAACCTTGTATACTGGCTTTTTGAATGAGATTCCTCCCTCATAATATATTCTTTTGAAAGGGAGATTTTCTTCTTCCCACTCCTTCCTCCTTAAATTATATATAGTGTTCGATAGAAAATCATACCAGTATTCAGAGATAACTGCTCTTACCATTTTGGTGTGTTTCCATTATCTTTTTTATATCAATGTGATATACATGTATGCACCCACCTTATAAATATGTGTGTACATATATATGTCAATTTTTAAAATGAGAAACACTAAGTCAAAATATACGTAAAATTTTATACATGCTCTTGCAAATATTTTATGTGGATTCTCATCAGCCAAATAGCACCAGAAACACACCTGTTGCCAAATTGGGTTTATTATTGCAGAAGGGAGATCTATACTTTGGAAAACCATGGAGTCTCTCAAAAAGAGGAAATATGGTGGAATTTATTATAGGATTTGGGTACAGTGATTTTATGGAGCCTTAAAGATGGTTGGGAGTCTGTTCTGGATTGGGTGCTGTCAGAAAGCAGGGGCAATTTGGCTGTTGGGCATGAGCAGTTTTTACCTAGGAAGCTAGACGAACAGAGGCCAGATGTACAGTTGGAGAAGAAGCAGTAGTCACTCCTGCTAGCCAGGAAAGGGTGGTTGCCTAGCATTTTCCCACTCTCTCCTTGTTAACGTTCTTTTTGGGCAAGATTACAGAGTGATATGTTTTGTTTTGTTTCACCACAATCATGGGGAGTCCACCTTAAAGGTCTGTAAATTTAGATTCCGCAGGGTAGTACCATACCTACCTTATTCAGAGCTCTCAACACATTCTCAAAGGATCCAGGATCCAAAAAAATTTAAATAATTATCATTGATAGGTTAATTCATTCAGCCTTGAAGATATCCTTAATTCAACTGGGAAGGTAT